ATTGGATTTAATTCTTTATAAAGAATTGAAAAAGGAGAAAAGCAGGGAATTTTCAAATCCTACCACCCAAATGACTTCATAACGATCCCATCATAAAGGTACTCGCACCTTTCTCTGAGTCGGCAGCTGTTACCCACAGACAAATACTTGGGTGTCCCATTTTCTTGATGAAGATTACTTTTTTTAAGGTATAAAGTGAACTTTTGGTGGTGTGAGCACCTTTATTCTGCGACACCCTTGATATCTTGGTAAACAGTGTCCAATTTGAATAAAAGCACTGGTGCCCTTACGATGAGCATCATTAACCTCCTTTTTCATCCATAACGTGCCTAGCACATTCAAGTGAGATTTCTGCAGGGTGGATGTAATGCACTTCAAGCGTTCTTCTACATTTTAAACATTTAAAATGCTTTGTAAATATTTACTACTTGTTTCAGTTTTGTTTTTGTTTGTTCTAATACCTTTTAGATGGCAGCACTAATCAGGCATTCTAGTTCTAATTGAATTTCCCACGTGTTTATTGAATATTTGTGCCATTTTGCATAAGATACATGTAAGTGGATGATGGCTTCGACGTCTTAGCAGAAAAAGAGAAAAATGAGGCGTTATGTTTTTTAGATTATAATGATAGTGATTTATCTGATTTAGATAACGAGAGTGAATCACTTTCGTCTGATGAATTTTCAATTACTTCATTTGAAAGTGAAGATGAACTATATAATCTGGCTGATGCAAGAACATTTAACTGGTTTTTGAATATGACGTGTGTTCTGCTTAGATTTTCTTTCCTTGGAAAACCCGGAATTACTCAAAATATTCTACAAAATGATCCTTCAACGTTGGATTTTTTAAAATTATATTTCTATAAGGATCTGATAAATATTATCATCGAAGAAACGAATCATCACTATCAACAATTCATTAGCAGCAACAATCTAAAAGAAAATTCTTGTGTATACAAATGGAAGGTTGAAGATTTTTGAGTTTGATTTTATTACAAGGCATTATACAAAAGTTAAATGATGCTGGTCCAAAAAACGCTTTATTGAGACACCATTTTTCTCCAAAGTTATGACAGAAAAAGATTTTCTCTTCTTATGAAATTTTCACATTTTTCAAACAATGAAGCCACTTTAAATAATGTTCAATTCCAAAGTTAAAAAAAAAAAAGTTTTGAATGTTGCTGAATACCCGAGGAAAACGTTCTCTGGTGTTTATATTACTATGAGGGATATATGCATTGATGAAAGCTTACTTTGACTACTTACTTAGTCATCTGAGCTGGATTGAGTATCTACCTTTAAAACATGTTAGATTTGGAATCAAATTTTTTTAATTGTGTGAATCAGATACCAGTTATGTTTGGGACTTTATCATTTATGCTGGAAAAATACAGATCTAAGATTTTTCCCAGAAAATACATCTACAGGAAGAAAGGTAATATTATCTTTAGCAAACCCTCTGTTAGGAAAAGGTTATTGCATGACTTAAGATAATTTTTATAATAGTCCAGAGCTGTCAGGCATATTCCTAAAGAGCAAAACTGATGTATTTGGCACTGTAAAACTGAACAGAAAAGACATGCCTGCCTTACAGTCAATGAAACTGAAGAAAAATGAGACAGTTGCTTTCCAAAGGGGGAAAATTCTCGTTATGAAGTGGAAAGACAAGAAGGTTATATGTTTGGTGAGTACAGTACATAATAACTCCATGGTCGTCGGTAATGTCACAGCTTTCGTCCAAAGTTAATGAAAAGTATTTGTAATTTTGGACTCCAGAGACAATTTATATGCCAACATCCTGGCCCATGTCATCTACTGATGCATGCAGTATTTCTAAACAAACCTATTTTATCAACAGTATTTTTGCATATATATCAACAACATTTTGGGCTAATATTAAAAGCTATTTTTTATTATTTCTTCTCCATCGGAATAGGGTTTTTTTTTCCTTCTGGGCTAACAGCAGAGAAAGTCATAAGAAGCCTTCACCATAGTTCCCATTTCGTTATTTCTCTTCTGTATAAATGAATTCTGGTCACAAGTGTAATCTGACAGGATATTTTGTGTTTGAAATGTTGGTCCAAGTTAAAGTTTTTCTACACTCCTACACAAATTCCTTATACTGAACAAACAGGTTTGTAAGTATTTTGATGTGTAAAAAGCAATTGTTCTTTCCAGACAGTTTTAAAATCATCAACTGCAATATCCTCTTCATGTTTTCTTCATGTTCGTGAATGCTCTCCAAATTAACCTATGAATTTGCACTTTTTCAGTGTGGGTGCAAATTGTCTGAAAATATCAAAAGTTTATTATGGAATTTTGGTACACCTTTCACTGTTTTGCATCTCATTTTTTTAAATGGATTTGCTGTATTAATTGAATTAATGTAAGGATATTTCAAAAATCAAAGTATAAAAAGTGCACTAAGGACTTAATTTTCACGAATTGGATTTTCACCAGGATTGAGAAATGGCATATACTACACCACGAAGGCATGCTAAAGATTGCGTGAGAAATATCTAATATGTTCCCCCTTTTAAAAGGCGACTGTGGATTAGGGGTTCCAATTGCCAAATCCTGGTGGTGGAGAATCATCATCCACCACCCTTTTAATTTGGACACCACTGTAAAGACATTTGGTTTTTGGAAGCAGTTGAGATGAAAAATGAGCAATGCTGTCTCCGGGACTCGAACCACTGACTTCTTGAATATGCGTCAAGCGTGCTGACCACTACACCACAAAGGCATGTTAAGAAGACGGGAGAAATACCTTATAACTTTATGCATTGTTTTGTTGTTTAATGTCGAAGGTTTACTCATGGACATAGGAAAAATAAAACTTTAAAAAGAACGATGGTGGACGACAAAATCTAAAAACAGTTTAACTCTTTTGCACTGAACTTGCCGGTGTCTGAATGCTCAATCATCAGACACCGGCAGGTCTCCCGAACGCCTGAATCATTTTCTAAAAAACACTAATAAAGCATTTTTTGGACCAGTATCATTTAACTTTTGTACAACATTTTCTATCTAGTGCATTCCCCCATCACATTAGTGCATTGCTCATTGCTTTTCAGGAGTTGTTAACTGACATGCCAATCATTCTTTTGAAGGGACTGAAAGTAGTTGTGTTATTTTAGTGTGCCTCACTTTTCCTTTGTGTGCTGTCAATATTTAGCTATTGATGCTGAACTTTCCCAAGGGAAAAGTGCACACAGTGGTGAAAGTGTCCAAGAAAGACATTGTCACTTTACTTAAGTAGGTTATTGTTAGCGCTGTAGCATTCTACATGTCATGGGGGAAGGAAATCATTTCCGACAAATATACATATATGTGGGCACTTCAGATGTTTGAATAAAATAGATTTTGGCATTTATGTGAAAGACTTAAAAAAAGCTTAACATCTTGCTCAGCAGTGCAAAAATCAACTGAGCCAGACAACCAGGGTGTTACACTTGCTCTCACTCAAGAATGGATAACCGTACCACGACACAATGGCAAAGCAGGGCAACTCAAACCATCGACCTTGTAACATGACCATGCTGTCTTACTGAATTATTGTACTTGTGACAAGCAATTCAGTAGCATATAAGTAGAGGTTTTACAGTTTTTTGATGAAATTCCTCAAGTTGACTTTAGTATTTTTCAAACTTTTTAATTTTTGAATAAGTCTTCATATGCCACTGTTAAAACAGGCATGCCTACCGCAGGTTGGCCATCCATGATTTAGACTAAGTAAGTGAGATTTTTTAAAAAGATATTATATTAACGATGGATTGCTTTTTATTTTTTAATATGCTTTATGCATTTTTAATATTTATATTTAAATAACATTTAAAAACTTCGTAGACACATTAGGTTATTTGGAAGCAGGAGATGTGAAAAATGAGCAATGCCCTCGCCGGGACTCGAACCACGGACCTCTCGAATACTTGTTGAGCGTGCTGACTACTACACCACGAAGGCATGCTAAAGAACGCGGGAAAAATATCTAATATGTTCCCCCTTTTAAAAGGCGACTGTGGATTAGGGGTTCCAGTTGCCAAATCCTGGTGGTGGAGAATCATCATCCACCACCCTTTTAATTTGGACACCACTATAAAGACATTAGGTTTTTGGAAGCAGTTGAGATGAAAAATGAGCAATGCTGTCTCCGGGACTCGAACCACTGACTTCTTGAATATGCGTCAAGCGTGCTGACCACTACACCACAAAGGCATGTTAAGAAGACGGGAGAAATACCTTATAACTTTATGCATTGTTTTGTTGTTTTATTATATGTTATATGCAGTATTTAGTTACATAGCTTGGTTTACCATTTAAAATCTAATAAGTTACCAAGATATTGCACCTATATTAATAAATAACTTTAAAATATGATTTTAAATTTGATTGTATTTTAGGAAACTGAAAGTTATATGCATCCTTTTTAACATCTAGGGCAATTATTTAAATAAAATGTTTTCTACATTTGATATTTAATGCATATGTAATGTTCTTTGTTCATTTATAGGCCATAATTTTTGTTATAGTTATATTTGAAATCAGTTAACTACTTTGGAATTTTTTTTTTTTAGTTTAATGTTCCCAAATAAAAATTTTAAGTGAGCTGAATTAGTTTAGAGTGCTTGTCAGGTAAACTTCATCTGTCCCTATTTAAATATATACCATAATCCAACTGGATTTACATGTATAATTCATGATTTATTACTTGTTTTTCTCCTTATATAGTGATAAATATCCAAGTGCATTCATTAATTAAACAGTGGAAATGAATGTGCTTAATTAATTATTATATCAGAAATTAAGTATTTCTTGTGATATGAAGAGACAATTTTAAGACAACTGAAGGTTAAATATCAGGAATATGTCCAATTATATAAGCATTTCACTGGTACATTTTACTTGCACTTGTCAAATAGCTTCTCTAAAATTTATAAAAGTTTTAGACTAGAAATTTGAGAGTGAATATCATAATGTATTTTTCATCCTCTGTAGATTCTAATTGATACTGTGTGGGCTTTATATTACTTAACAGATGGTGGCAATGACCGAATTCAGGTACTTGAAATCTTTCCATTCTCCTTTTTTTAATGTCTGTAAATTTCTTTATAATATATATATATATATATATATATTAAAGTAAGGTTTTATTTCAGCATATAAAATTTTGGTATTTTCTGATTACCCACACCCGCGCTACACAGCCATGAGAAAGTACTGATGAGCAATGCACCATGTCATCAAAAACATTTATGTAGAAATCTATACAAAGTATTTACGTGGCATCCTAGGTATGCACATAGTATCCCTCAGACAGCTTTCTAGTTTTCTGAAATTTTTTGCTATTGCGGCAGCAGATTATTATATTTCCTATGCATACTGCAGTTTTTTTTCACCTTTGACTAAATGTAGGACTTTCCTTTCTGCACTCATAGAGCGTAATGTGACTCGCTCATCCTTCTCATTTTAGGATTTTGTCCCAAGTTTGTGCAATTATCTGTTTTTTTGTCCAATGAAAACAGTTTTAAGTGTACTTGGAGAGAACTAATAAGGTGAACTGCAAGAAGGTGCTTGTCTTGTATGGAAATAGAAGGATGTGAAAGAAAAGAAAGAGGCCGCCGGATGCATTGTGAAAGTAGACATAAAGATACTGAAACCAATGTTTCTCTCCAGAGCTGTAAGTGTGCAATCCAGAGCTGTAACTCAAGAAATAAACAATCTCGTTGTTGGGCGATGTGTGCACCACGTTATTTTAATTTTTGTAATAAATGCCTATCGACATGGTGTTCACGTTGCTCGCAGTTTGAGACAAAAGCATCTTGACGTGTGTGGCATGTCTTTTTAACGCAAGTGGTTAACTATTGCATTCGCTACTTTCAGAGAATATTTTTGACGAAATACAATGTTTCGTTTTTCATTAGCTGGCATTATGATTTGTTGTAGGCTTCATTTAAATTTCTTTCCTTGAATTTTTCTAAATTAATTAACTGATTTCAAAGCAAGTTGAAACTGACATAGAAAGTTGCAAATTTTGAAATTAGTTATCCCAATCAATTTTTGTCATACGTGACTCAAACTTCTAATTTTACTTTTTCATAATGAGTATTAAACTTTTCCACATATAAATATAGGAACTGGGAGACATCATTATAAGTTAGATTTCATTAATTGTCAAAAATAGAATTTAAAAAAATTGACATGAACGAAACATGATTATTTTTGGCATTTAAAACAGAAAGCAATTACAGAATTGGAATTATATGACTTCAATTAACGACTGTAAAAATAAAGGCCAGGTATGAGCTGGGTGTATATGTGTGTGTGTATATATATATATATATATATATATGCACATACATGTTTGGTTCTGCTGATTGTAGTAAAAGAGGGAGTTGCACAACTAGATGTTATAGCATTCCCATATACAAAATTTCAATGTTGTATGGCTAATCATTTAAAAATTATGCAAGGTGCATATGTAAGAACAGCCCAGTGGTGGCCAAGCAGTAAAGATGCTGAACCCTGGTAGCTCGGTCTGAGGCTCAAATCCTGTGAATGGCTATCTGCATGGGCATTTTAATGGTTTCCCTCATGTGTAATGTGTATACAAGCCAGTTCCCCTTCAAAATGCCTCCTCGAAGGCATCCCTTCCCTTAAGCAAATAGCCAATAAAATTGCTGTAATAAAATAACCAACCAAACTGTAATAGGTAAAAGTACAGACATCATCCCTTTTGAATCCATTTTACAATTTGTTTTGGTAAAAACAGTCCTTTATTATGTACAGAGAGCACACACACAAAAAAAAAAAAAAAAAAAAAAAAAAATGCCTTTGGGAATGGTCGAAATGGATATTTTCCTTGAAATATGATACCCACAGTACTTCCTTTACTTCATACAAGGAAGTAAAAATGGGTGTCAAATTGTGAAGTTGGAAACCTGCATGCTCATCTGCTGGACACGTAGCTGAGTTACCACCTAAATATATTAGGCACTATCATGGTTTGCCACATAACTATTTTGGTGTCTACTTCCTGGCTTTGTGAATAGTTTTCAGGGGTGGTGCAAATAATCATAAAGAAACAAACCTTTTATATAGACTTGAGTTCAAAATTAAGATGATAAAAAAAAAAACTTTTTTCTAAATTTATGAAGAAGTTTGAAATTATTTAATGTTAAGTTTTATTTTAACACAAAATTTCTGAAAAACATTTTGTTAGAAAAATGATTGCTAGAATCATTAAGGCAACAAGAACTAGGGTAATATTCATAAATTATCAGGACTAGTTTCAAAGGTTTAAATACAGAAGCTGCGTCTTCAGCTGCAGAAGTGCAAATGATGAAAGAGAAACCAGTGATAAGATAAGGTGATAAGAATGAGAGGAAAGAAGTCAAGCTACTGGTGTCATCTGTTGATGAAAATTAAAAACAAGTATGAAATAATTTCCTTAAAAGCTGAGGGTAAATATGGACGGATTTAGGACTGTTAACTAAAACTGGAAGATTTTTATAAATGTGAAAACCTCTAGAAGATCTAATTCACCATCGGATGATATTTTTTCAATAATTTTGGTTGCAGAAAAAAGCAAAATGTGATTTTTGTGACCAACAGTCTTGGGCAACAGAAGATTCATACGTTTCTTTTTCCCTAACATATGCCTCATGCTAAAAAGCAGGGAATTAGATTACCCCAAAGAAACATGGATTGGTGGTCCTTTGTGGAATTTTAAGGTTTTGTTAGTTTGACTAATGTAAATTGAACCACATTGGCAAAGAATCCTGCATGTATTCCAAGAATTCATATCCGAAATGGGGTCCTTTAAGTATGGAACTCCAAATTTTATTCACAGAAGAGAAATGACCTGAAAGTTGAATTTCTTGTAAAAACACATAAAATAGCACCTTCTCATTTTTAAGAATTCTAATGTCATTCCTTTTTACTCCCAAAGAGGTGACTGAGGTTTCACCTTGGTGGGTGAGTTGGCTAGGATTTGTACTTAGACAGGCTTAGCAATGGGGGAATATAAGTTGTTTTCACAGGACTAGAATCACCAGTTCTTCAGTAGTGAGTTCAGGCTTGGCAGGGACCATACTGCTACTGTCTTGGAACTGTGGTGTTGCTGTGCAAAATAATATTGATTGGTGGTCCTTTGGAGTTTCGTCTCTGTTGGCCTACTCATGGAGGCTTCACTTCTATCCGGTGGTCAGGTCATAGCCCAGTTGCGACTGGCCACTACAGACTGTGTTTCAAGCAGAGATAGCCTTGACCCTTGTGAACCGTATAACCCTGCATCTTCATATGTTGTCCCCTCGGGTTGACCACATGGTCTGCCCATCTCTGGATTGCCTTTAGAGATGGATAATTAAATGTGTATGGGCATAAAAATGCCTGGGTTTGGTGTCACTGACCAGCGAAATGTCATTCAATTTTTTCCATGGATTAGCGAAAAAATTGCACTTATTTTACAGAAATTCAACTTTGGGGTTAATTTTCTGTTCTGTCAATAAATTTGTAGTTCCATACTTAAGGACTTCATTCTGGATGTGAACTCCTGGTGTATATACAAGATTTCTTGCCAGTGTGGTTTAATTTACCTTGATAAAACTAAAAGAGCCTTAAAATCTCATGCTAAATAACATGAGGCATATGTTAGGAAAAAAGAAACACATAAAATCCTTTGATACCCAACACTGTTGGCCCTAGAATCACATTTTCCATTTTCTCTGCAGTCAAAATTATTCAAAAAACATTTTCTGTTGGTGAATTAGGTTTTCTACAGGCATTTACTGTTCTTGAAAGTACTTCAGTTCTGGTTAACAATCCCAGTTTCAATCCATCTTTATCCTCGATTTTTAAAGAAATTATTTCATAGTTTTTCATTTTTCATCAACAGATGGCACTAATAGTTTGACTTTTTTTCTTCTCATTCTTATCGTCTTATCTTGTCATTTGCAGCTGGAAAAGAGGATTCTATATTTAAACCTCCAAAACTGGTCCTCAAAATTTATTAATATTATGTTGTTTTTTGTTGCCATAACTCCTGCAATAATATAAATATCAGAAAGCATAATGAAATTTGGTATGGATGCATAATTATATAAGACAGCAGCTGATGCCATACAGTTGTAAACATAGCCAGTCATGACTGTGAGTAATGCTAATAAGAGGAGGAGTGTCCATACTGACTTCACAAGATTAGTGCTTAAAATAAGGCTAGCAGAAGATATGCTTAGCTCTAACAGACATATAGGTTGCATAACAAGTTATACTGCTAATCACACAGGTGATGAATACTTGTAGCATTTGCACCTAATCCTGTACTAAAGCAGCTGTCAGCTCCTTATTAGCTCTCAGACATAGTAGGCAAATTACAGTTTCTCATAAGTATATCCCATAGGTGTTCACTGAGGAGATTTGGCACACTTATGTGTTTGCTAAATACCTTTGCTTTGAATATATTTGTCCATTATTTGACTCCTACCCAGACAAGTGATGCTGTTTATAAAAAGGAACTAAATCCTAACTGTGCTTCTGAAAAGTTAACACAACTTTTAAAATATCTTCTCTGTACTTATAAAAAATCGGGGAAACCTCTGTCAAACGCACTTTCTTTCTTTTTAACTTAAATAAATGTATGTCACATTATTAAGCTGTGATTTAGTTTCATGTAAAATTATGATAATTTGCTTTTTGGTATTGTTTTACAGATGGTGATAGACTCTCTAGTTGTGCCTCAACTTGTTCCATTATTAAGTCACAAAGAAGTGCTTCTTCAGGTTTGTTATTGCTTTTATCTGACATAGTTTTTAAATTATGTTGTATTAAAACTTTTGTACATTTTGTCCGTCATTTGTTAAGATATTTTGATGTTTTTAGACTGCTGCACTCCGTGCAGTTGGAAATATTGTTACTGGTACTGATGAGCAGGCACAAGTGGTTTTGAACTGTGATGCATTATCTCATTTCCCTGCATTGCTTAACCATTCAAAAGAAAGAATAAATAAAGTAAGTATAATTATTTAGCTGAAAAATATATTTATAATAGGCTTTTAGTGCAACCACCTTGGTGACATTTGGCCTTTTTTTTTTTTTTTTTTTTTTAAACAGATGAAAGGTAAATTAAATGATAAAGTTGGCAATTTTCAACTATGTCTAAAATGATTGCTGAACTATCAATATTTGTGGTAAATTTTACTCTAGCAGTTGAAAACTATACATTGTAATCATTAAATAAGAATAAAAAACGCATTAAAAATAAAACATATTTTTCTTAAAAATCTTCTGTAATTTTTGTGTGCTGTTTTTCCCATGTACACATTTATCTGTTTTCTCTTGAATTGCACAAACTCAGCATTGCACACTAGCTTTCTACTAAAAACATCTCGTCATTATTCCATTTAGCAATTTAGTGGCAAAATGCTATTTCCGGTGAAAATGTTATCCCAGTTTCTACATAGCTAGCAAATTTCACAAGAACATATTTTAAAAAATTGAGTTTAAGGCAAAAAGGTACTGTTCTGTTACTTGGACCGGAGTCATTGCCAGATGTTTCACTAAGCTCGCCAAGAGATCAATTCATATGAAGTCGTCAGTGTTTACTTTTAAATTTGTTATAATGTTTACTTTTTAAAAAAGTATAAGAATGCCTTTTCAAAGTTGAGAAAATGTACATTCTAAAGATAACTTGTTTTTATTATTACTGTATTTACTATGGATATGAAAATTTGGGACTTACCTAACAGTGAAACATCTTCCATACAAGTTCTTGTGGAAAGAATTGTTATTTAAGCCCCCCCCCCAAAAAAAATTACCTTCTCAAAATTGGTCTGGAGGATTGAGAAGGAGTTTCTTAATGGCAATTCGTTTCATTTATGTGTGGTGTTTGGTCAGTATAAACTTGATATGAATCACTGCATTGTTGTTGATTGAAACAGTTATGTAAGAGGAGTCAGTGGCCATGCATTAATATCTAGAACGTCAGTTAAAATAGGTGGCACTGGTTATTTATTGAAGTTGACATTGTTTTCACATTGAAAAATAATGTTGGTTGTATCTTTCCACTCCAGTGGGTGTACGTCAGGATTTGCTGAGAAGGCAAAAGAATGTTTTTAAGCTGCTATGCCTAACCACTAAAGTTTTCAGACATTTTAAATGATATGCATAGTTTTATGACTTCGTGTTAATCTTAGTTCTCTAACTAAATATTTCTTTTCCTAATTTCTTTGGAAAGTTGTTTAATTTACATTAAAAGTTTCTAATTTTATCTTATGTTACTTTTCCCTTGGATGTTTCTTCAACTTAACCGTATCGTAAATATTTTAGCAATTATATTTACACTTCGAATTTTTCGTCAGATTGTCTGCTTTTGTTGATATCTGAATCTGGTCCCGATAACAAAACAGTACCGGGAAAAAATATCACAGTTTGTCTATAAAATTTTTGTAATTTGGAATACGGCAAAAAGAATGTATATAAAATTTTCCCTGCATGTTGATCAATGGAAGGATTTTTATGAGCGGGGTTTTCTGAAGAATGTTTATGTGCATGTTTACCATAGTTTGGCACAATCTGAAAATTTGGCAACTTCTGCTAAGGTGGTTGCATTTATGCGTTTTTTTTAGTTTTATCGGTAGATGAATATAATACATATTTAAGTTAAATTTTTTAGTTATCGATTGGCAATTGATGATTAGTAACTAGACTTCAGCTGTATTTTTTTTTTCAATTTGTATTTGTATTAATTAAGGCTATTTTTCTTATTTTTAGGAAGCTGTTTGGTTTTTATCTAATATAACAGCTGGTAACCAACACCAAGTTCAGGCTGTTATTGATGCTGGTTTAATTCCTATGATCATTCATCATTTGAGTAAAGTAAGATTTTCCTTTAAAATTTAATTACTTATTATTGTATTTGTTCATGCATATACATTTATGTCAGGCTGTAATCATAATGCTTTTGCTTGTTTTTAAATGGTGCTCAGTTTGCAATTTATGAATGAGTCAGATGACAGAATATGAATGTATTCCATTATTCATCATTTATAGTAACAATTCTTTAAGTTGTATTTCTTATTTTATGAATTTATATTGCAGTTAATGAAGTTAAATATTTATTCAATTTAAGAGACTTAAAAGACACTGAGTAGAATTTAAAGAATTTTTATTGTTCTTTGCACCAAGAATGAAAGTATAAGAACTTGTCAGCATATTGTACACACAGTTAACAAAAGCATAAACCAATATATTCATTGAAAAATGAAATCTAAGATTGAAAATATGTATCTTTTTGCTCTATTTGGCTTAAGCACCACTTTGATGGGTCTTACAGAAGTCAACAAACATATTGGTACAGAATGGCATTTGTACCTTTTTTTCAGTATAGCAAAAGCCCAGTTATGGAGTTAAATTAATTGGAAGGCTCACATAAACCTCCCTCCCCAAAAATGTAACCAAATGAGACTTGAAAAGCATGTGCAAGACACTGTTGTCAAACTGTATGATTCCGCACCAATAATAGATAAGTGCAACATCAGAACATAAAGATAATCTTCACCTTGGTTTTATGCCGGTGTAACTGGAGCAGCTGCCCCTGGCAGCAGAATTTTTAGAATTTAGAGAAGCATGAAACAGAAAATTTCAGGATGATTAAATTTAAGATTTCAGGATGGCATTAGGGCAGCAGAATTTAAGTACAGCAAAATTTTTAGGATTTTTAGAGGCACCTAGCAGTGAAATTTAGAATCAGTGGAGATAGCATCAGGCAGCAAAATGCTTAGCACTGGCCCTGGTTTTATGTAAATGCATTTAGTTTTTCCTATATAAGTTAATTGTTATTTATGTTTTTCCTCCTATTAAAAATTAAATTTTGGTGCTTGCCTTCTATTAAGGAGCATGGAGTGGAGTATTCTGTGGAAGAGTATGGAACGGAGATAAGTTACGAGATCCTGGCATCAAGAAGTGTGTGGGTTTATGGGCATGGTATACAAATTTGTTTGAAAACAGATAAACGATGATGATGCAATTTGAGAAATTATGATAAGCAACTTAAGTTTTTCATATCATATATGTATAACTCTTATCTGTTGAATACCTAACTATTTATCTGCTCCTTTAAACTTCTGCTGCAGTGATTAGCACGAATTTAGTGGCATCTCAACCAGCTTTAATGTTTGATGGGAATTTCATAATCAGGTAAGATGTTTTAAGTGTCATAAGACCTGTGAAATACATTGGCTTTTATGTCTCAAGTACTTTTTTATTGTATTTCTTTCTTTATTTATTTTTAAAATCTTTCACAGTTTTAAATGAAGGCTTTTCATAAGTTCTTAACTAACAAGATAACTATTTGCATAATTTTAGAATGGAAATTTCATCTAACATTCATTTGGCTTTTCTGCCCTGAATTGCATTGCATTTTTTATCTGCTCAACTATTCAGAATTTCCTTTTTCCAGCATTCAGCCTTTCCTTAGTTTTCTGGCTTGTCGAGCTTTCACTGTACTTTCTTGTAGTAGCCTTTGTGAGGAAGGAAATTTGAGCATTTCTTGCTGAACAAGAAACAAATGATTTCTTGCTTAACAAGAAACAAATGTGTGTAACAGGAAACAAATGATATTGAACAAATTGATGTACACAATCAATTTGTTCAATAGCTTCAGTACACAATTTATTCAAAACATACTTACAGTAGCAATGTAATATAAATTTGTGTTTATTACAATTTTGGGTACTTAACATATTATCTCTTCAACCATGAAAATGTTGCCAAGCAATGTGATTTAGCACTAGTTATAGACAAATTTGACATCAAAAGACACTCTTAGTATTTGGGCTTTTCTTTGATATAACCCCAATTGAAAAAACAAAATTAAAATTTTGGACCTGCGTTTTAGCTAGCAGTGGGTAATTTTTAAGACATCCTACCATAAAAAAAATAGTATATTAACAGACACGGTATGGTCAGCTGAATGCAGCCAACAAAACAGTAACAGATTTGAATAGTTATCTGCAGGAAGTTTATACTCATAGCATCTAAACAGAGCTTCGAACAAAAGTGGTGTGTGTGTGATTATGGCAAAGCCTCTAGGGCTATCTGACTAAGGGGATGGATGCCTTCGTGGAGGACTTTCTAAGGGAAACTGGCTCGTATACATGTTACACATGGGGAAAACCACGAAAACGCCCATGCAGCCAGCTCACTGGATTCAAACCTCGGACCAAACTACCAGTGTTCAGCGACTTTACTGCTCGGCCGTTGGTAGGCCCAGCAAAAGTGGAGGGCCTAACAAATACTAGAAACTGACAAAAAGACTTGTGTGCTTGCTAAAAGTGTAAAACTAAAAGAAGTCAAGTACTGATTGTTTATTAAATAAAGAGGTATCAATTCCTTCAGAATCCTGCAGGAACGATTGGTGCAGCTGTGGCAGATATCCTCCAACGTCCATGGTTCAGTGGTTGCCAACTTTTATAATCAACAAATTAATATATAAGTATCCAATTTTGTAAGCAATTTATTCAAAATAAACATCACATATAAACTTATCTGTCAGTTAATTCTTAATAACACTGAATGGTGGCTTAGTTCAGAAATTGTTGCTAATAATAGTACATCAAACACATTATCATGGCTGATATGTTACTTGAATTCAATACAATGATTTCTGCTGGGTGGCACTTCAGGTTATAGGAAGTCATATTCCTGTGTTTTTTGGTCTTTTTTCTGAGTGCCAGTTATAGGATCCACATTTATACTCATGGTTCACCATGAAGTGACAGAAACCAATTTCATCCACTAATTTGGATTTATAACCATTCCAGCAGTCTACGGTATCACCAATCCCTCACTCGTGCTTTTTGGGGTTTTCTTTGCTTCTTGCATTTCGAATTGGTATCTGAAACAAGAAATACTTGTCATGGTGACACATGCCTCTTAAAATCCATTTTTGTGTTAGTATTCTCCCTGCATTGTTGTTCCATTTTACAAAGTGGGATTTTTCAAACTCCACAACTTCCGTAGGTCCTCATGTATTGCTGACTGAATGTCACTTCAGGAATGGAGCAGACTTCCTCCATTTAATAATTTCAAATGATGACTACTGTTTTTCCCAGATTAAATTGCTTTTTGCTCCATTAGACAAAAGTGAGTTCCTCATTTCAGCAATACTTCTACTGCAGTGCTGTAAGAAACAATATTCTTTTGTATTGAATCCAGCACTCCGTAGTCATGAGATGAACAAAGAAGTGCATTTTGTTAACCTTTAGCCTTCTTTTTTTTTTTTTTTTTTTTTTTTTTAATTTACGCTGTTTTCTATCCAAGTGAAAAATATGCCAATGGTAAGGTAACTTTAGCATTTAGGATTTTTTTGACAAACAGTTTTCAAGCCAAAGGCTGGGCGTAGTTAATGGTGGGATGCATACTAACAAGATATATACTAGTAGAGAGCGTATCTGCAACCTCCAACCAGTTCCAGCATTAGTGTCACGGGACTGCTGGTCGAATTCCGAAAGTACGGAAATACTTTACATTCATTTCTATGGGAAGAAAGTCAACTGCTCTTCTTGGTCACATAAAATTTAAGAAAAAATGGTTATCCTCTGTAGCGCCTATGGATGTAAAGAAAGTTTTGTAAAAGGAGGACCTGTAACCTTTCATAGGTAAGTTAAAACTGCATGATTTATTATTTTATTTCCAGTATTTTTGTCATTTTACTATCTCTGTTGAAGTGGTTGGAAAGTTTCAGCCATATCATATGTCAGAAGCAGAAATTGCCGCTGTATATGACATTTTTCAGCATGTATTATTAACATCAAAATGTGTTAAATGCTGTGACACTTATTTACTGGAATCGCCCTTTACAAATAATTGAATTTTATATTCTTTTTCTGTGTACTCTGTTGAAATAGAAAGCTGTGCCAGCTGGCACTAACCTTTTTTTGCCACGTCATAGGCGTTTTGGTTTCGTAAACAGGTACTGCCGGCGATATAAAAAGAAAATATTATTATTATTAAATAATTAAGAAATGATTGTGCGATACTTTGTTAAAAAAGTCAGTAATTAAGTAAGTAATTATCAGTAATTAAGATTACATTATTTTGTTCCAGTAATACTTTGTAAAAAAAAAAAAAAAAAAAAAAAAAAAAGGCTGAAAATCTTGATTCATGCAATATTGAACATAAACATTTAAACAGCATTATTTTAAAAATCAGATTGCCTTTATAAAGCTCAATGCTTTATCTTCATTTTCAATAAAATCAATTAAAATAAAAATAATCAACTTAAATTCTGTCTCATCAACGACAGTGTTGGAAATTGATTGTAATTGAAAAAATATGATGGGAAAATTTACAATATTTTAAATAGTAATTATTAAAAAAAGAATTTTTAACTATAATATCGGTTTGTTTTGTTTAATCCTAATGATAAATACTGAGTTGAAGTTTGTTATCGTTTGATACATATTCAATATAAAAATATTTGTTATAGTTAATAAGATGTATTGTTCTCCCCCCTCCCCCCCCCCCATGACATACACATGAGTGTGGAAATTATTAATTAAGATTGCGTTATTTTGTTCCAGTAATATAATCTCAAGAAAAGGGAGGTGGTGCTAATTTTAGAAGTTTAACCTACACGCAGTGAAATATAATTGAATTTGTTAATAGATTTTTATGAAGAAAGAATTGTTGATGGCAAAATCAAAGTAACTTTAATTGATCAACATTGCCTTGAGCAGAATTTTTTTCCCATCTACCATCATCAACAATCTAGTTTGAAAGTGACTCATATTTTCTTTTAAATTTGCACTTGACCCTTTTTTTTCCAGAAGGCACCCTTTGACCTGTAAGTTGATGTATTACAAATTTTGTTTTTG